TTTGCTGAAGATATGGGAGCTCCATGACCCAGTGAGCCTGCTGTTCTCACACGTGAGCATGTTCTCCACAAGGGGGGGCCTGAGCAAGACAGCACAGCAGCACACACAGCATTGAATCCATGTAACTTTTACAATAAGAGAATGGATTTAAAAAAAAAAAAAAACTGACTGCTGTCCAGTTGGATCCGACTCATAGCAAACCCTCCTTGGGTTTCTGAGGTGGTATCTCTACAGAAGTAGATTGCCCAATCTTCCTTCTGAGGAGTGGCTGTTGGGCTTAAGCTGCCAGCCTTCTGGTTAGCAGTGGATAAGCACAAATAAACTACACAGAAGTTCAAACTCATAGAGTAGAGCTATTTTATCTCCATGGCTGTATCTCAAAGGAAGCAAGTTGTAAAATGATACACATAGTGGGATATTACATATATATACATACACATCCCAACCCACTGCCATCGAGTACATTACGACTCATAGCCACCCGCATTGCGTTTCCCGAGGGATAAATCTTTATGGATGTAGATTTCCTCATCTGTGGAGCGGCTGGAGGGTTTGAACCACCAACCTTCTGGTTACCAGTCAAATGCCTTAGGCACTGTGTCACCAGAGCTCATCTTATTGGCGCAGTGATTAAAACACTCAGCTGCTACCAAAAGTTTGGCAGTTTCATGGGAGGAAGATGAGGGAATCTGCTTCCATAAAGATTTATAGCCTTGGAATCCCTACAGAGAGGGGGGCAGTTCTACTCTGCCCTACAGAGTCGCTATGCACACAACAAAAACAACAGTAATAGCATAAAAGGGTCTATGGCTATACTGAATACCACATTCCAGTAGGTGCTCCTTTTGAGGCAGAAGGGACAAGAATGATATGGAGAAGGTCCAACAGGGAGCTTCAGTGCTAGCTATTGATCTCTTAGAAGAAAATCCACATGCAACTCTGTACTTGTTTCGGTGTCCTTGAGCAGAGGGGTCATGTTTACTTTGGCTTGACATGCCAGGAATTTGGAATTTGCTCTGGGACTTGGTGTGCTTTCCTTGTCTGCTCAGGTGGGTGGGGGGTGGGAATCCTGCCCCTCTTGCCCAGGCAGCAGCCATCTCTCTGACCTGGAATAGCACCGTGGGGCCTGGTGTGTGCTGGGGGCTGGTCTTGGAATTTGCTGGTATACTTGTGACTGTTGTGACACCCAGGTTACCCTGAGAGGTAGAGGGGGAAGGTGATTTTTCAGACTCTAGCTCCAGAGATTGGAATCTGTTCCATAGTACCATTGTGGGATTGGCTGCCACTCCAGGGCACAGGAGTCAGGGAAAGGGGGCATGTTTTGGTTTTTATTTTTTCTTCCTGTTAATTTCTCAGACTAGTGCACAGACTCTACTGTGGCTGTCTGTATGCCCTGTTTGAGGGACTCGTTTGAGGCCTTGTCAATAGAAGGCATGGAGGCTGAAACTGGTGAAAGTAGAAAACTTGAGCAAACCTGGGACTTCTGTATCATCCTAGTTAAGCTCCTTAAGTCATGGAGGGGTGAGCTGTCAGACTCCTTGGTTGTGTCTCTTGTCCCCGAGCCTTTGGCTCTGGTCTCTGGTGTGGGCCTGGTCAGGGGAACAGAGGAGCTTGAGAGGCATCAAAGGCAATAAAAGGATGTCCATTCTTTCCCTTTTGGCACCACTCCTCTGTCTCAGCAAGCCAGGCTCACTTCAACGTTGAGGGCATTTTCTCCTGCTGTGGGTCACCTGCACTTTTTGGAGCTTGTCTAGTGATAGCCTTGAGGAAGGAGCTGCCATGCCTGGCTGCCTTGGTAAGTTCACCTGGTGGCCCAGCCTCCTGAGATATACCCAGCCTGCCTGTGATGGCTGGCTGACCCTGGACTCTCTCCATCGAGAGACTGAATAATGTTGAAAGGAGAGCCTTGCACTGGTTCTAGACACAATGCCAAACTCTGGGAAATCTTTGGCAAGTCTCTGGACTTCAACTTTCTTATCAGTAAGATGGAATAAGTATCATGCTTCATGAGAGGTCTCAAACTGGTAGACTTTGAGCCTCACACGGTCTTTCAACATGCAATATCTAACTTAAACCAAACTAAGAAAAGCAAACCCATTACCAACCACTCTTAAGTCTCAGGCAGAGCAAGCCATGGTGGCACACTGGTTAAGCACTCTGTTGCTAACCAAAAAGTTGGTGGTTCAAACCTACCAGCTGCTCTGTGGGAGGAAGATGTGGGAGTTTGCTTCCATAAAGATCGCAACCTTGGAAGCCCAATGAGGTAGTTCTTCTCTGTCCTATAGGATGGCTATGAATTGGAATCGACTTGGAGGCAATGGGTTTAGTTTTTTTTTTTTGGGGGGGGGCGTTAAGGCTCACCTCCAAAATGAAACTAGTTACAGGGTGTTTATAAGGATGAAGTGTGCTTATCCAGGTAACGTGTTCTGCACAGTGCCTGGCTGCTATTCATTATCATTATCATAATTACAATACATGTAGCAGGTTGTCCCAGATGAACTCAAGTTGGAATTCAAAGTTTGATAACACATATTCGTAGATGATGAACTTTGAGCTCTGTCAATGGGGTCTGTGCACGTGGTTGAATGTGCACAGGAGATCTATTTGGGGATAGAGGCTTTATAGCAGGAGGTGGCTGTGCCAGCAAAGCATTGCCTACTGTGGGGCCTTAGGAAAAGTGATGATTCCAAGGAGGCTGATCAAGAAAGCATGCAGGGTCAGGCTCCTGAGAGACCTCATTAGCACCCACTGGGTGATGAGGCAGTGACATCTAGTCAAGCACACTTAAAGCCTCCCTCATTGTCCTTTACTGTGTCCTACACTTCTCTGCTTCTTCTGGAGATCACAAAAGTCTCACCACACCCCTCCCCAGCTGACACTGTACTTCCTGCATCCTCCCGTTGTTGTTATCATGGGTTGTCATCCAGTTGGTTCTGATACATGGTGACTTTATGTATAACAGAAGGATGCTTTGTTCAGCCTATGCCAGTATGAAAGTGTGGTTGAAGTTTCTCCTGCATAGAAGCTGGGATAAGCCTTGTTCAAAAGGTCAGATCAAAGACCTAGGGCTTGCTTGGCAGAAGGAAGGATTTGATTAGACAAATGATTCTGACTCATGGCGACCCGTGTGTTACAGAGTAGAGCTATTTTATAGCATTTTCTTGTGCTGCTGAATGAGTTTGAACCACCAACATTTAGGGTAATAGCTGAGTGCAACCCATTTGTGCTAGCCAGCCACCTTTGGATTAGATAGCAGGAAGAATTTCCTGACAGTGAGGTGGTTAAATTTTGAAATATGTTCCTTTGGGAGACTGTACAAGCCAAGTTCCCTCTTTGTGTATCTCTTCCCATTGACTAGTTCACATACCAGTTGCCATGGAGTCTGCTCTGACTCATAGCAACCCCATGTGTGTGAGAGTGGAATTGTGGCCCACAGGGTTTTCAATGGCTGGTTTTTCACCAGTGGACTGCTGGGCCTTTCTTCTAAGGCACCTCTGGGTAGATTCTAGCCTCTAACCTTTTGGTTAGCAGCTGAACATGTTAACCATTTTTCTCAGAGACTCCATCGACTACCTCAAACCCAAAGCCACTGCCATTGAGTCAATTCTGTCTCCAAGTGACCCTATACTACCTCAATAAGAGGTCATATGGATAGAAAGTCTGGAGCTTCTCAGATTCTCAGTTCTGGTAAACCAAAACTCTCTTCTCATTGACTACCAAAATTGGCCCAGCCTTCACTTTGCATCCAGGAGGGGTTTCCTGAATTGGTTGGTTTTCTTAGTAAAATTCAACCAGGAGCAGGATACTGACAGACACAAGCTCACAGATTTTTGCGTGAAATCTCTTTGAATAGCATCAGTGAACAGAAACTGGCTTGAAACATATGGCTTAGATAAAAGCTTCCACCAGTGACTTTTATTCAGCCTCAGTCTAGGCTGCTGCTGGAACTGGAGAAATGTCTGAAATAGCCCACACTGGGAGGCTTTCAAAATCAGAGAATCCCACCTGCTTGGAAGGATGGAGTTCAACTAGCCCCCCCCTAAACTCTGGTTCCCCATGGAGCAAGCCCTCACTGACTTCTCCTCCTAATGCTTTGGGAGAGGCATGCTGCTGGTCTTCCTCCAACCAGTGTGGCTGAGGTAGGGGCCCAGCAAACCCTGGGCTGGTGCTGGGGAAGCTCCTGGATCTACTAAGATGTGGCTTCATTTGGGAGGAGATAAGAGGCAGACATGGATAATTTGGAAGATCTTTGCTCTGCAGGCATCTGAGTATCAAAATCAACTTGATGACAATGTTTTGTTCTTGTTGTGTATCTAATCCAAATCTTTGCTGCTGCAAAGCAAGCCTTAGGTCTTTTATGGACAAAGCTTGTGGACAAAGCTTGTTGCAGGTGTTCATTTGGTTTAAAGCCACCTTGATCTCCCTGGAGAGGTTTGCAACCATTCTGCACCCTTTTCAGATCTGGTCTCAAAGCAGACAATTTGTCCACCATTGCAGGCTGGTATGGTGCTCCAGAGGAGTCCCTGGGTGGCACAAAAAGTTAGGCACTTAACTACTACCAAAGGTTGGTTGTTTGAACCCATCCAAAGGCACGTTGGAAGAAAGGCCAAGTGATCTGCTTCTGAAAGGTCATAGCACTGAAACCCCATGGAGCAGTTCTACTCTGTACACATGGGGTCACCATGAGTTGAAATCAACTCAACAGCATCGAAAAACAACATAGTGCTCCAGATGTTAATTGGTTTAAATGAACATCCCTCAAGGCAGTCTTTTTGCCCCATTTCAGATACCTCTGGATTAAGGGTGTCTCCAGACAATTTTAGCTCCTTTGGCTTGGAGCTTACACCCAGATTCATCCCAGTACCTGCCACCCTGTGCCCTAGCACCTATGGGGTCCACCTCATCTCCATTCACACACTCTCTTGACTTAGCCCAGTGATTGTGACATCTCCAACACTGCTTCTGTTCCCAGGCTGCTCCTTTATCATACCCAATCCTACCTGAGGTTCATGTCCCCCTTTGCAGCCAGACTGAAGATATTGGACAGGTTCCCCCCTGGTGAGCAGCCGCAGATCAGGATGGCCAGTAACTCAATGTTGTTCAGCCGGAACAGCTTGCCCAGTGCAAAGGCGGTGAGGGGCATGATGCCATACTGTGCCACCAGGGCGATGGCCAGTCCCTTAGGCTTCCAGAAGTGTGCCTTGATCTTACTGACCTCCATGGTGCAGCCTAGTGAGATCATGATGATGAACAACATGACCACCAGGATGACGCTTAGCGCAAAGTCGGTGGGGCGCTTACCAAAGTTGGGTGGCAGGGTGAAATTGAAAGGGCTGGACGTGTTCAGGGTCTCCATCCTCCTGTGAAATGGTGGATGGCCAAGGGTCAAGCACAGCCCTTGTTCGTCTTCCTGCCCAGTCCTTGCCGGATGCCTTCTGCTGTCACCTCCCAGGGCAGAGAGTATCAGCGCAAACGTAGCTCCAGGTAAACAGAAGGATCACGCAACTGGCTGAACTGTTTCTCTGGCTGAGGCCCCAAAGAAGGGAGAGCCCAGAGCCTTATCTGGCCAGCCTTGCCTGCCTCTCCTGATCTCCCAAACCTCTGATGTCCTCCTGGGGGCCATTCACACTCTCCCTTATCATCTTGTGCATCTGGGACGAGAGGGCTTTGTTCTTTCCTTTGCCCTCCACTGAGCACACTTCCTAGGCATTCTGTTCTTGGGGTGGTGCCCACTCTAGGCCCAGGGAAGGGGATCACCATTCTGCCCTCAAACCCCATGGGAGGCCAAAGCTGAGTGTTACCTTTAGTTACTGAATGTAGGGAGCATATCTCAAGGCATGTGGGGCATGGTAGGGGTGGGAAGTGCTGGTCCAGGAGGGGATGTGTCCCTGCTTCTTGTCCTGGGAAATGCGAGGTGCTGTGTCCTTCTTGCCTGGGCTGGGGAAAACTTTGTCCTATACCCAAACCTGCCTGTGCAGGTGCCAAGGGAAGAACTCCAGCTGAGGGCTTCTCCATGCTCTCTGGGATGGGGGGGATGGCAGAGGGGCTCTCAGGGAGCTTGAGGCTCTTTCCCCAAAGGGCAGCTCTGAGGGAATCCTGGCTGCAGAGCTTTATTGGTGTCCAGACTCCCTGGCCTGTGGCCCGGGGAGCCCCAGTGCTTGGGAAACTTGCTGAGAAGGACGCAGGAATGCACAGCCTTTTCTTTCTGATTTCTTGACTGCCCTACTTTTGCTCTGGGCCTGTGTGTCTAGGAGCCACGCTCTGGACATACAGCAATAATAGACAGAGGCAGGGGGCTGGGGCAGGGCATGCCATGGTGTACACAGCCTCCCTGAGCCTCTTGCCTTGTGTCCCTGCTGTAGGGATAGTGTCTTGACAGCACAAGGGAGCTGCTGTCCTGCAGAAACACAATTACCTCTTGGCTGGGTTGGAACCCACAAGGCCTGGGTGGAGTTTTATAGCTTTATGTTTGGTGAAACAGGTGATTAGGGAGCTCTGGTGACATAGTGCCTAAAGCATTTGACTGCTAACCAGAAGGCTAGTGATTCAAACCCACCAGCCACTCCTCAGAAGGAAGATTGGGCAATCTACTTCCATAGTGATACTACCTCAGAGCCCCAAGGAGGGATTGCTATCAGTCAGATACGACATGATGGCAGTGAGTTTGATTCTTCTGGTTTTCAGAAAGCAGAGGAGTCCCTGGGTGGTACAAATGGTTAAGGTGCTTAGTTGCTAATCGAAAGGTTGAAGGTTCAAGTTCACTGAGAGGCACCTCAGAGAAAGTCCTGGTGATCTACTTGTGAAAAACCAGTCATTGAAAACTCTATAGAACACAGTTCTACTCTGGCACTCATGAGGTCGCCATGAGTTAGAATTGAAAGTAACTGACTGGCTCGTAGGGCAGTATGGGGTCCAGGGTATGAACAGCTAAGGCTTAGGGGTGGGGACAGATTTTGGCTTGGGGTGAAGAATTGCCTAGAAAATGCAAGCTCAGGGCCTCAGGAATCCTGCATCGAGAAGAATTGGGTGACAGAGTTGGCATATTTTGTATCCTATCCATGAGAAGCCTGCTCATGGAGCTGTGCAGTGCACAGTCTGAGGAACCATGCACCATGGCCTTGGGTGACACGGACTCGAAGCCACTTACCTCTGAGAGTCTCTGATATTAATGATTCCCAGGGGCTTGAGATGAGTTTGTCTCAAGTCGTAGGGCAGGCAGAGAACTGAGCACTGGGTGCTGATGGGGGATGTGTGTGTGGTGCCTGGACTGAGGGTACCTAGAGGGTCAGGGCCAAACCCAGAGAAGCCTGCCTTCTCTGCCTGGAGCCAGTCAGAGGATCCCCCTAACAGAGTGACTAGGAGAGTATTACTGATCACCAACTAGAGCCAAAATGAAACCCTTCCTAAATATGACAAAGATTACTCCCAGCAACAAAGACAACAGGCTACACAGGGAGAGATTTTCTAAAAATATACTAACAGAAACAATAATAAAATATGATAGAACTCTGGCTAAATACAGGATCCCGGGATGGCACAGGGGCTGAGTGCTTGACTATGAGCTGAAAGGCTGGCAGTTCAAACCCACCCAGAGGTGCTCTGAAGACAGCCCTGGTGATTTGTTTCTGAAAGGCCACAGGCTTCAAAACCCTATGGAGCAGTTCTACTCTGAACCCATGGGATTGCCATGAGTTGGAATCTAAAGGCAACTATTACAGCAAGGCTGAACTTACCTGACCTATCAGTAAATGTTGAAATAGGATTAAATTACTTACTGAGAAAGAAAAGATAATCAATCTGTATCCCTAGGCAAAAGCACCCTTATACTTATACTCAGGTATGGGCTATACATAAAACAAAGTGTTTTCAGAAAGGTTGAGAATAAAAGGATATACAAAAGTATATGAGACAAGAGGCGGGGCAAGATGGCGGACTAGGCAGAAGGATTGCACAGACCCTCTTCAACAAAGAAAAGGGAAACCAATTAACACAGACACAGAG